GAACTGTATGGAATTTCACATATGTACATATACGAGTGCACTCTGAATATGTTAGCACATAGTTGAAAAATGGTTAATAAGACTAATTTATAAGCCTCGCTCTTGGCAATGAATCGCTAAAGTTTCGGTTGTACATTCTGGTCTACAAACATACGCATGTAAGTGTACATGTATCTACTTATGTATATAGCGTTCAGTAGCGCTGAAAAACACCTGTGTCTCAGTGCCTGTATTCATAAGCCGGTTTAAAAAGTTAGCAAATAAACAAGTATAATAAGCTTATATTACTAAACTATTCGAAATAGAAAATGCACAGTGCTCAACAAATTAGCAAAACACAAACACCACAATAAATGTAAAAGAAAGAAGAATAGTGCATTGCAGTTCAAGCCTACCATAATTTTGTTAGTTTTGAACAAAGTAAGTCCTAAACAAAGTAACACTTTCATAAGGTCTATATGGAATGTAAGAACATGTCACATAGTTTGATAAGAGCAATTTATTGCTTTGCGTGGAATGTGAGTTAGATATGACGCAATTATCTACTTGTTAAAATTACCTCATAACGGGAAACCTGGCCTGTGGCCTCAAGTTATTAAGCCATAAAAAACAATTTATTAAAATTTGTGTCATTTTAAATTCCACCAGCCGCGGTTCTGGGTAGTTCTACTCGTACATATTCCGAGATTTTTTATAATCTCAATTTCGATATTTTTTTTATCTCAACGCTGTGCTTCTATTAATTGTGGGCCAACCAACTCAAAGTGCAAATTTGTCATTTTGTTTGGTTGCATTTGTTCTTCAGTGTTTTTTTTACAACAATGCACATAAATAAAATAAATATGATGCGCAACTTGTTATTATTATTTAAGCGGTTTAAGTACCTGTATATTTGTTTAGTCTACAGTGAACTAAAAATAAACTTTACAGTCGTAGTTAAAAATAACGAGCTGTTGACATATATAGCTGATTTGGCTTGCACGCTAACGACCATCAAATTGGGACCGGGTTCAATTACCCATATAAATGAGAGATCCTCAGGAACGAACTGCTGAGTGGATTCAAAAATCTCATATTTTTTGGCCTCCGCTTTGGAAAAAATGATGAAATGCCGAAAACAGTTAATTAACTGAGATTAAAATCTAAAAAAAATATCGATATGATTCCAAAGAATTTCCGAGAATATTTTTGTGCACATAATGTGTCTAAATTTCTTTTAAAGAAGTGAATTATTTTATCCCATCCGATATGTGTATGTTGCTGGACATGTTGGAAATTTTCGAAATTCGACGAAAGTTTAGTTCAAAAATCAAGATAAGAATTCACTTGAAAAAGAATAAATCTTCAAATAATTAGCGAGGCTGACGTGTTTAGTGTCGGAAGAGTTGACTGTTGTAGTTGTATGAAATATTGTGAAATCAAAACTGAGACAATTGATAATTACGAGCTTGTGTTTATATACATATGTACATACATATTTTTTCTTGTTCAAGGTCTTGTCAGAGTGCTGTAGCTTCTATTCAGTCGATTCGGCTGATTTTGGGGCCAGCGTTGTTTTTCTTCAACAGAAAATGCAATTAGAGCCGAAATACAAAAGATTACTAAAAATATTACAAGTATAACATAAAACGGAAACAGTTTGCCTATGCTACTATTCTGGAAGTTAGTAATGATATTGGCAAATCATTTTATATAGACTGCAATCTTGTTTTTATACACGCCGTTTTGTGTTTATATTTATAAACTAAGGAGGTTTCAATACAATTATGTACTTTCATAGGCACGATGTGTTATCTAAAATACTCGTATATGAAATGAATAAAAGATACTTAAATCATTAAAAACACCCATCTTAAATATTTTCATATATTATATACATTACTTGAAGATAATTAATGTGTATAAATCACATTTTTGGGATCATTACGTCTTGGTTTCCGAGGTTTCCTTCATAGGTTTACCAAGCTCAAATTTTTGAAATACAGGACAAAGTAATGGTTTCTGTACGTTACATATCTGAAGGTTTTTTTTTTTTTTGATAAAGAGGTCCGCCATTTCTACATTGAGAGGCTAGTAATATTTCCTTGTATGGTAAGTATCCACTATATTTAAACTATAGGTAAAAAAAACGGTGTGCACCTAAACCAAAATATTAATATTTTCCTCATTTTACTATAACATTGATGCATATTTTTAATGCAGAAGCGAGCTATTATTACAAATTATTAATTATTACTGATAACATCCCCTTTTTACTAATACTTATTAATATCTGTAATACTCAAGTTAAATGAACTTCACTAAATTATTAATTACATAATTATAATAAAACCACTCATATGTGAATGTGTTCCACTTTATTATCCTCCATTTGACGAAGAAAATCATTCATTTTAACAATTCTATTGCCTTATCAATAATCAGTTAACGTCAAACTCTTGTTCTTGTTATAAAATTTTTATAACTATTTTCCCGTTACCTTGTTGCAATTCAATATACATACATGTACATACGAATATATACTATGCACATTTTTATAACCAAAGTGTGGTTAGCGTAGATTAGAACACAAGTTAGAATATTTCGCAACAATTTAAAGAATTCCAAAAGAAGCTTGAAGAAGAAATAATAAAATAATTAAAAAATATACCGCAAATTGAATAATTATTTTTGGTTAGTGTAATATATTTTGGTATTGTTCGAAAATATTTGCATAATTATACAGCATTGAATTTGTTCCACTGACACGTTAGCGTAGAACATTTAGGTATGAAGCAATTGAACAAGAATAACTATTTTTCTAGACGTACATATGTATGTACCTTATATATGTATTTAATACCTGTAAGTGTGATAATATATATAACAGATTGTACGAATATGTGTGTATGAATGTTATAAAAAATGTAGTAAAAGCTTGTATTAAGAAAGAATTTCCTATTATTGCATAGCAGCATAAAAAGGAACGCATAAATGTATCACATTTAGAATCACATTTTGAGCTGCTGTAATACCAACACGCTTTAAAAATCGCTCACGAACTCAGTTCGAGCGATATGACTCGTGAAAGGTTTGTAATTCTGACACAATCGGTGCATAGCTCTGCTGGAAGCTTGGTCGTGGTTTTGTGGTGGTTCGAAGTGGTCGTGCACATTCTAGGAAGGTCTGAAAAATTTTCAGCCGACTCGTTATGTCTAATAAATGTTATGAGTAGTTTGCCATGTCAGGAATATTTTTGGATTTTTCCATAAGCGGCGGGGCTGTCCTTTTTTATAAAACACTTTTAGATATTGGAAATAAGAATCACATTCAGGTTCTGCCTGCTATTAATGCGACAATCTAAGTATTACTTCCCTAAATTTATCCACAACCTTTGCAATTTATTTAGTTTACAGTTCAGTGTCACTGGACCAATAGTTTGACTATTTCGGCGGTATTTAAATTAGTTATTTTCACTTGCAAGTCAGAAAAAACTCTTTCTTAAGTTAATTTTTTTTTAAGAGGCATTTTATATGGTAAATAAAAAAAACAGTGTACATTTACATAGTTTAGTATACCTTAATAATCAGCGATTTATTCATTCGTGGTTTTTTATGAGAAAAGTATTGTCAAAAATCGCATTCCTTCGACCATTACCTGACAAATATATCTACGAAGGGCGTTTAAAAATTTCAAGTCGATCGATCCAGCCGATTCCTCACCAACTCAACAGCGTTTCGACGAAAACGTGGTTAAAGTTTTGGGAGCCGATTACTAAGTTAAAGAATTCATAAAAATACGCTTATATTTCCGAAACTATTGGCCGGATTTTTAAGAGAATATTTTCATGTACATTGGACATATATTCCAAAAAAATCGATTTTTTGATTATTAACGTAACATCAAAAGAAATAAAACTCCGTTCTAACGATATAAAGGATAAAGTTTAATTTTTTCATAGTAAGAAATGGATATTGTAGTATGATGAATAATAAAAGATATTTATTTCCAGTCCATGAGTACATTCTTCTCTTTACAAAAGTAGTTATACAACTGTCTTATTTTTATGCAGAGACTCACTACAATAATTCCTTAATGACTTTTGTCATTTATTTGAACGGAATAAAATCTTAAGTTCTTCATTGGCAAGGTCTTGTAAGCTAGATTTGCTATAAAATATTTAACATATTTTTAGAAATTAAACTTTCTATTGATTAGGTTTAGTGAGCCAGATGGCCGCGATGAAAATGTCAAATTAATTGAACTGTAATCGAATAATAAAAATCCAGGAAATTAAACACATAAAGTAAACTAAGCAGATTTTTATTGTAATTTTTTTTTGTTTTAATTGATTTCAGATTATAAGCATTTGTAATTAGCATTTATTTTTTTAACTTTAATATATCTACAGACCACAGTACGGGATATGTATGTAGATAAGTATTTTTTAAAGTAAAAACCCGAGGATACTTTCCATACCCTATGTCAACGATGTATGTAGGTATATATGTATGTATGGAAGTGTTGTATATAGTATTAAGATATCACAGTTCTTGGTTTATTTTAGCATGTTGATCCTTAAATTAGAACGTCTATTCACGCTTTTATCACCGGCCGAGTGTGAATGAACCGATAATTTCATATACTTATATTGTAAATAATCAGCAGAATATACAAATCTTTATATAGTGGGTATATATACTATAAATAAATATTAACACTTTCTATTTGAAGAATAATAATTTTGAATTTGAATAATCACTTTGAAATCTGTTGGCTCGCGTATGCCATTAATTAATTATTTCAGTAAGCAATACGACAGAAAATCATTCTTTTTTTGCTAATCGTCAAAAACTTGCGCCACAGCACGTAAAAGCAATAAAGCTTTGCACATTTTTGCATACATATAAAAAGAAAATAAAAAGCGACGAATAAAAAGGAACACACAGGAAATAATAAGCGCCACTTTGAAAAACAACAACATATACGTTAAATCTAAACGAAAACGAAAACAAACATACCAAAGTGCCCAGCGATTATTGTTGGAATTGTGCTAATAGGCCAAAGCCGAAATGTTTAATTAATCAAATATGCAAAAATCGAGTTTTAACTTTTTTACATCAATATTTATTCGCGTATTCATAAAGTGTTGAGTTTAAAGCCCTCAATACAGAATAACGCGGGCAAAACTTTGCAACTTAAGCGAAAATTTCTTTATCGTCACACGTGAGCCGTTGCCGATACGGGGTTCGAAATACGAGTCTCAGAGCACATATGAGTCCGACCGCTTCGACGTTTATATCGCGACTAATGACTGCACACTCAGTCTGTAATAAGAGGAGACCGCTTCTTATTGAAACACTAAAGTGCAAACACAGAGTGTTGAAAACTTTAAATCGGACAATTCAGTACACTCAGCTCAGTGTACTCACTGCTTGCGCCTCAGCTAAGTGTTTATATATAATATATAGCGATTTGTTAAGCTGATAACCGCATCCAAGAGCATACGAAAGCCAAATCTACAACTGATTACAGTTACATCTGCAATACTTATATACCTATGTACTATAATTGATAACAATGTAGATTGTTATCAAATGGGGATATGAGTGACAGATATGTACAGTAAGTAATCGCTATATAAGAGATATATTTTAATTTAAACTAAGTTAACATTTTTTAACAAATTTCAAAAACTTCAGATTTGAAATGTTTTATTTTTTTAAATTTGTAGTTAAATTATAAAATAAATTATAGTTTAAAAAACTAAAAAAACACGCTTTAAAGGAATTTTTAAACCTCCTTCTATAAAGCTCTTCCCTACCATCTTGTTTGTGAAAATTAATGCTTATGGCGCATTTATTTCGTCAGTTATCGCACTTTTAGTATATTTTAACATAACTTTTATGTGGGGAGTGGGCGTGGTTATTATCTGATTTTGCCATTTTCAAAAAGACTTCCTCTCAGCAAATTTGGTTGAGTTAGCTTTAGCGGTTTGGAAGATATATACATTAAATCATTTAGGGGCGGGGTTACGCCCACCTTTAAAGTAATGGGAAACTGTTATCAAATTATTGCATTGTCGTAGGTCCTTGACACGTCTGCAAAGTTTCATGTTGATCAGACTTCTGGAAACCGGTGAAAATTGAGCTCTAAGATTCCATTACATACATACAACCCAAGCTAATAAAAGCGTATTAATAACCATAAAATTGTGGCAAAATGAAGTTTTTAAATGTAATATGATAATAATATATACATTTTTGTTTATATTTGTGAAGGATAGTATAGCCTCAGTGCAACCGAAGCTAACGTTTTTTTGGTTTTCTGGATGGAGTACACTTCACTGCTATCAATTACTGAGCTTATGACAGTCGGGTCTAAGTAACTGGAACGAACCTGGATTTTTATCCGGCCAAGGACAGTCAGCTCGGCACCATTCCTCGAAATTACTTCAGGAATTTACTTCTTCTGCCGCTACAACAACAACAACTGAGCTCGTTCTCAAAGCAGTCGAGTTTACATAAATGGTTTGAAATAATTTGATTGCTGTTGCTGTTCTTATGAGTGACTTAAGCTATTCTCGTAGAAACGATAAAACGGAAGGTTAGGGAAAGGTCCGCTTCGAATTTGTTGGCCTACAGAGAAGAGATCTTAGACGAGTACGTTTAAATTTTGTGGTCAGAGTCAGAAAATTGTATTCCTTTACAGCATACAAAGTGCAATTGTGCGATGGTTACACCAGTCTTAGGAAGATACTTTAACTTTTTTATGTAAAGGCCGCTGTTTGTTGAGGTCAGGAAGTTAAATGCTTATTTTTCAGTAAATATTTTCAGCTTATATAACAAAACTGATCTTGGCGCAGATCTGAAAATGGTCCTTTCTCCAGAACTACTACCTCTTTCTTTTCACCTATTGCCAAGTCGAAAATTGATTTTTATTTACGAATTAAAAGTAAATATGTTGAACAATTAATAAAAGTTTTCAAACCTAACCTACTATTTTCAGGGTTTGTTCATCTAAGTCGCAGATAAATTAACAATATTGCTAACAAGAGAAGCAATCCACAATGGTTTTATACAATAAATAATCATTTATTTTAAACTAAGCAAATTTACGAAATTTAATCATCTTTTATTAACTTCATAATTACTTCAGCAATAAGTCACTTAAGTGACGAAAAGTGTACGTACAAAATTTAAGTATGAAAACTAATTGTGTAAATATATTTCGTGAAGATATTTTGTCAATTAAAAAAGTTTTCCATACAACAACTTGATTTGGATCGGTCAAATTGTAAGGCAGAGGATATAGTGGATCGAATTTGTTTGGAGATTATAGCGCTGCCTTCAAAAATAAAATGTGCCAAATTTCGTAAAGACAATATGTCAAATAAACAAGTTTTCCTTACATCGACTTGATTTCGACCGATTAGTTTTTATGGCAGCTATACGCTACAGTAGGCTGATATCGGCGGTTCCGAAATGAGCAGCTTCTTGGAAAAAGAACGTGTGCAAAATTTCAGATCGATATCTCAAAATTGAGTGACTAGTATGTACAGACAGACAAACACGCGGACATGGCTAACATGGCTAAATCAACTCAACTCACCGAAGTTTCCTTCTGGGTGTTACAAACTTCGTGGCAAACTAAATATATCTCTTCAGGCTATAAAAAATAATTTCATGAATATATATTTACATGTGCACACATGAAAAAGTAAAACACTTATTTTTATCTTTGAAAAAAATTTGAATATAAAGTATATTTATAATTATTTTTGCAAAAGTCAGATATGTTAAAATGAAAATTATATGAATATATATGTATAAATAAAATGATAGTAGAGCAAATCACAAAAACATTTTATAGAACATAATAATTGGTAAATTAGAATAATATACATATTATTTAAAATCAGTAACATAAATTTTTTTACTTAAAAGTTATAAAATGTTTGTTGGTACGAAAACGGTTCACAGTTCACAGTTCAACAGAACAAGACAGTTCAATTTTACTTAAAAAGATATAAGGTTTCCTTATATGCGTATATATGTATGTGTTGAAGAAGCACAGCACACACTATACTCAAGTAGGATTCAAATAGCTTCATTTTAACGTGTGTTATTGATGTGTGGCTTGTGTATGTAACTCTTGCAAATAGCGCTCCTGCTCTGCACGACGATTCTTTTCCAAGATTAAAGCACGTCTGATAAACCGAAAAACAACAGAAAATTAAAAACTCGAAACGATAAACATTTATGACAAAAATAAATAAGGTATACCAATATACGCTACATAACAGTATTTCCCACTTACCTATACCGTTCGTAAAAGCCAACAATTGTGCCGAGCTCTTGCTTAAACAAGCGTACCAACATGCCATCGAAGCACTCAAGATCTTGCAAACTGAACATGTTGAATTGCAGCATATGGTCTTTCGATGAATCAGCATTTGAGTATACCACCAACCATTTGGGTATCTCTTCTAACAAATACGGATTGGCCGGCACTAGCGCATTATGTGTGTGTACTGGCGGTGTATAAGGAACTGGCATTTCGGGGCATATGGCCTTCGGTGGTTCGGCAGATGTAGTATATACATAATATGAGGTAAGGCAGGGATGCTGTCTTTGGCATTGCCCTGTATATTGGTTTTCATAGTAGGTACCGTGAATTTTCGAAACAACACGTCGCCATCCTACCGGGAGACCTTCCCTCTCTAGTGGATGTGACCAATGTGTTGTATGTGTGTGATGGTCTATATAATACTTGCGTCCATGAAGAGTATATTGCATTGCCCAGCCGGGTGGAAGTGGTAGCTCTTCTTCTATGGATTGCTGTGATGGCACCTTTTGTAAAACATTTGTTGTACTGTTTGTTTTGCCGACCGATTGTGAGTGTAGCTGCCTTGACGGTGCATGGTACAAAGATTGAACAGACGTTGCAGCTGCTGTACCACCAGTCAAATCGTATGATGAATGTAAGTTATTGTTGGAAACGGCCAGAGTTGTATTACTATAAATGGGTGACTCAGAGCGTACTTCTGCAGTTGATTGAGTAGATCGACTATCGAAATTATTCATTGATGTATGATTATTGTTGACCACACTTCCCGAAGTATTCGAAGAAACTCGAAAGGGGTTTTCATAGATGGGATAGGAGTCAGAGCCGGCTAAATAACTGGCATTGGTTGGATAATGTTGTGGTGGAGTTGGCGTAGCCCCACGTGGTATCTGAAGTACATTGTTGTAGGAATCCATACCTTCAGCTATTGATGTGGCATTAGTATCACTGTTTGTAAAGCCACGGATACGTCCATCATAAGAGTTACTATGTTTTTGATTCGCAGAATGCCTTCTATGAAATTGTTCGTACGCTGCATTGTTTGGCTGGAGTAACGGTGATGATTGCTGACGTCGCATTCGATCAATTTGCTCAATGTTTACATAGTTGCTGGTGCTGTTACTAGCATTGCTGCTGTTACCGCTATGACCATGCCCGTTGCTGGCCACATCCAAATTATTACTTGAATAAAAATGTGGATGTTGGTTTGTTGAAGACATGGAATTGGTAGGCGCATAAAAACCGGTCACACCGTAACGTTGTTGATGTGCCTGCGACACTGAACGCATTGTTGTTGTTGTCGTTGGAGGCAATTGAGATTGCGCCCGTCTGGCATGATAATAATCAGGCTGCGAATTCAATTGTGAGTCGTTGCCGCAGGAGTAAGTATTGCGACTAGAATTACCAGAACTTCGTCCGGTAAATTCGCAACTGGGCGAAGTGCTGGCACAACGCTGCAGTGATTTCTTATTATGCTTGGCACGTTGCTCATCAAACGACCAGACATTTATCACTGGTATTTCCGGAGGTGTTTCCTTTTTCACATACTTACCAACCACACCTTCCTTATGAGCGGTAGCCTTTTCTTTACTGCGGCGCGACAACATGGTCGGTTTACGATTGCACAGCAAAATTAGGTAGTTCATTCAATCTCTACAACGCCTCTCATAAAAAGCTACCAAAAATCGAAGTATCCATATTAAAATGAAAATTTCTTTTGTTGCCATGCAAAAGCAAAGATTTTAGTTGCGGTAGCAATTTGTTATTCTGGGTTAATTTCCATGCGCTCTTTTTAATTATTATGAATGTTGAAGTTAATTTTTACTTCTTATCTTACTCACTAATAACACAGCAAATAAATAAAGAACTTATGAAGACGTGAAGAAATAAACAACCGGAACAAATTTACAAGTACAAAATGTCAAATTGGATTGTGTAGTGATGTGCAAATATGCATTAGATAGTAGAGCCACTTTTCTTATCGATTATTTATGATTAATATTGATTATAAATTCAAAAACAAACAAATTATATATATAAAAAGTGGTTGACTTGTAACATTTACTATTTAAATATATTCATTTTGAGATTGTCAGTTCATCATCATTGTTATTTTTCGATAGTAGAATATCGATTAATTATATATAAACACATCTTTGACTTACTGCCTGACATTTAAGAATGGGGAGAGTTGCCATGACATAATATTGGAAATTCTTATAATAAAACATTTGTTTTGTGTGAAAATTTTAAATAAAAATACATTGTATGCATTTCAGGCATTTCGGTATTTAAAATAATTGTTCAAAAGAGTTTAAATAAATTTTCCCTTTGTTTTCAATTTAATCATAAACTCTTTAGTAGAAAATAAGAAATATCTTAGTACTTCAATTAGTTTACTTATTATTCAGACCCAATTGTTAAATAATATTTTTCAGAAAAACCTAATAACTGATACCTTTTTCACTCCCCATTTTTGTTGTGTTGATAATGCATTAAGAAGATAATTGAATCAACATTCGAAAGCAATTTCCTTTTTTTTTTGTAATCCGGAAAATCTTAATTAAAAATAGTTTTTATATATTTTACACCGAATACTGATTTATATAAAAATTTAATCCTAAATACGGGAGAATAAAACGAATAAAAAGAAGTTAATACCAAAAGCTAGATTAAAAATTAATTATTAATTTCATAATATTTTTTATTATTTTATCAATATTTCATTTTAAGCTCTCAAATCGTCTTTTTTTAACTTAAAAGAAAGCTATTTGTGAGTTAATTTTTTTTATTGTTATTTTTGTTTTTCTTTAAATTGTCACTGACTATTAGTATTTGAAAAAAAAAATTTTTTAGAAAATTTTTTAGAAAGAAAAAAGTTTTTTAGAAAATGTTTTTTTTTTATAAAATAAACAAAATAATAATAATACTCAGATCGTGATCATCTGAAGTTTATAATTAGAAGTTAAAAAAGATTTTTTTTAAATTTACATCTAATTTTTTTTGCGTTTGTAGTAAAGTAGTTTAGTCTCCCGTTTTATTAAAAAAAAAAGTTAAAAAAGTTTGACTGTGACATCGGTGTATGTTGTTACAATGGTGTATGTTTAACATCGACGGTACATATATAATTGTTTGTTTTATCGTTTTTTGTTTACAATCCAATTCAGCTTGTTTCAAAATGTAAAAACATGAGCCTAGCACAACTTCACTCAAAATCATCGATGTGCCTGTAATTATTTTGTTTATATGAATTAATTAGTTAGTAAAGTTTTTGCTCATAAATTATTACAGAATTAACGACTAAGCATAAGAGAGTTATTATAATTTGGCTGATGCGAAAGATGAGCATTTTGTTCAAGCGCTGATCATTCAACACGAGTTGGACCAGTTTTAGCAAAGATTGAGATGATCATGAATGCAAATAACCATTAGGTGCTTAATATACGAATTGTTATAGACTGTTTAGTTTTTAAACGGGCGCGAGCATCGGCAGTCACTAACTCGAGAAGCTTATACTATATAATTCTAGTCATCAATTACAATAATTAATATATATGCACTGGAAATGTGCTAAATTGTCTTGAAGAGTGCAAAAATAACAAATAAATAAAAAAATTTAAAGATTACAGAAATTAAATATTAAATTTGTACAAAAGTTGCAAAGTGCACTCGCTATAAAGTGAAATGTCACAACAAAATGGCATTTCCGCCGATGACGCAGCGGAAGCGGAGACGGAGCCAAAAGGAATGGTGATTTATTTAAAAAAATTATGGGCATATCGCCAATATTTGGTGATCGAACCATTTTTCTTTTTTTACCTGATGGCTAGTGTTTTTAATGCAGTCGCAATGCAAAATTTTCCGCTCGACAAGGTAACACTGCCTAAGAGTGAACCCTTTCAATTTGGATTTCGCTTAAAACTGAAGTTGTTTCGATTTTTTAGGCGTGTCGCGTTAATTTGGGTTATAATAAAATTATCTGCGATACCACTTTGGACAAATCGGAACTGGGCATAGAATGTGATGACTTCAATTTCGAGAATACAACGCTCGGCGCAGTGGCAGCAGATGCTGCGCTCTCTATTAGTTCGACGGGCTTCAACTACACCGTGTGCAAAGCTGAAGTCGAGGCGCAAAAATTAGCTGCCGATGTATCGGGGAAACGAGCACCCATTGGTGTGTATGTTTATTATAGCATTTGATCCTTTGTGGGTCCATAGTAAAATTTTGTGAATTCACATGGCATCCGCTGTTTGCATTAACGCTTCATTTGCTTTTTTAATTGACTATTTATTTGGGTATGTACCAAAGAATTTAATATTTGGAACCTGTTTAGAGTATTTGCATTTCGTGTTTAACTAATAATGAAAGTCTGATAAATTTGTGTTTAAATTTTAGAAAATATAAATACCAATCCACTAATTGCTGGAATTACCAGTTCCTTTCGCAATCAAGCTACAGAATCTCTATGCAAATGTGTGTGTGACGAAACAAGAAAACAAAACAAAAAAGTAAAACAATCTTCACAATAATAGCTCCAAGACATAATTAAATTTTACTTGTTTTTGCATAAGATTTTTTTTGAAATAACCAACATATTATTATTTTTCAGTTTTTTTTAATGATGCTTAGTGGTACTTGTAAATCCCATATATATATAGTAATTTTGCGCCGTTTATGTTAATTGTTAATGTCTGATAAACTAAAAAAAAATCCACTTAAAGAATCTCCATTAGAGGCTTCGATTGTTTATTGGAATGTGATTTTTCGTTTGTTTTGATTTGGTAATTTGCCTTTTTCACGCACGCAAATAGTTGCCAATTCATCTCCAGAACTTCAGTGATTTTTGAATTATAGTTCAAAACTGGTTCCGTAGGCATCTACCTCCCGTCCAGTTTGATTTTCAAACAAGTTGTTTTCATTAAAAATTTTTAGTGTTTATATAAACGGATTAATCAGCATTCGTACTGGTTGATGTTTTTTATAGCATTTGTGTGCTTGTGTATAAATCTTCGTAGGCAATCATATTCGATGTGAGATAATGTCAATTAGTGAAACGTTGAATGAATTTTTCCTACTTGAAGATGATCGCAAAATAGCTTTATTACAACATTCTCTTGTTTAATTGATTTAGAGGTGCTATTAAATAGCCACTTTCAATGAAATGGATTTATTAGTGATGGATTAGAACATTTTTTATTTTCGCGGTAATCGCTGGTGTGTTACCGTTATAAAGAGCATATAAATAGATAAAGCATGGATTTTGAAAATAATTTTTTAATTTTAATTATTTCAAGGAAATTATTTTATAATAGAAAACAAATTTTCTGAAAGTATTTTAAACATTTATATTCAATTGCATGCAAAGGAGATATATTTCAATTAATTGTCAATTCAGTTTATGACACGGAAAAATTGTTTTGCGGAACTCTTTACAGACAAAATTTTTAATTGTGACGAGTTCTCATACATTTTCAGAGATTAATTACATACATACATAAGTACATATTCAAATGCAAACGTTTACTCATCACGAAGCTTAATTTCTCTATGAAGGTTAATATGTATGTATGTATGTATTAAACAATTGAATTAACTGTTATATGCAAATTTTTGTTTCATCAATATTTAGTTTATTTTTACTTCAAAATATTTTGAAAATTTGTAAGCTTAAGAAAAATATAAATAAATAAAATCTAATAATATTATTTTAAAAATAAAAACTATATAAATAAAAAAAACATATTAATAAAATTGAATAACAATACTTTCCTCAATTAGAACAAGCAAAAAACAAACTTCTACGGCACCAAGACAATACCCTTCACAATAAAACCTTTATCTTGATTTCGATAGAGCACCTATGGTATTTGCTATAGTAGTAGGATCTGAACAAAATGTTTGGAGATTATAATGTTGCCATAAACAATAATAAGTGCCAAATTACGTGAAGATATATTATCAAATAAAAAAACTTTCCATACAAGGACTTGATTTTGATCGATCAGTTTGTATGACAGATATATCCAGTAGTGATCCGATATTGGCGGTTCCGACAAATAAGCAGTTTCTTGAACGTGTACAAAATTTTAGAACGATTACTCAAAAACTAAGAGACTAGTTCGCGTATATGTATACAAATAGACAGACAGGCGAACATGGCTAAATCGGCTCAACCCGTTACACTGTTTCGTCTATAATCAAAAATAGTTAAAAAAAATTTGATTAAAATTAAATAAACTAAAAGTTCGATGATAATTATAATTTGTAGGTTATATCACACTTGGAATGGTATAGTCTATTAAAATAACTAATGATTTTCAAAAACTTTCAGTGCTAAAGGTTTTAAAAGAACTTAAAGAATTATTTCTTTGACTATAAGTAATGTATTGTATTTATTATCATTCACAGCTGCTATCTTTCCTTTGATTGTGTTACTTTTTGCTGGCGGCTGGTCTGATCGTTATAATAAACGCAAGCCATGCATGATTATGCCCATTGTCGGCGAGCTACTTTCCTTCACATGTAAGCATATTTTATTTAAAAAAAAATCTAGCTTCTTAACGAAAAATAATTAACTATAAAATGTAAATTAAAATGAAAATCAGAAGTGATGTCACTAAAATTTAATATTACGTTGTTATGACATGAATTCCCATAAGGTTTGCTCATTTCGGCAATCTTCTTCGACGCCCTACCAATGGAATTTGGCGCATACTGTGAGGCGATCGTACCGGCATTATTTGGTGGACTCACGTTTTGTTTAATGGCTGTATATAGTTATATAACTATAGCGACACCTGAAAAAGATCGCATATTTAGGTGATTTTTGCAATTTTCAATTATTATTTTGAAATTAATGTTTCTGTCAAATCTCAACAGATTTGGCATCTTTGCCATGTTTGTGACAGCCGTGCCTTTTATTGGCCAACCTATAAGCGGTTTTCTATTTCAGAAACTTGGTTATATATGTAAGTTCTTTTTAATTGTTTTAGAGCACAAATTACTCTCATTATTGCATCGTCTCTTTCAGTTTCCTTTGGAATGGCCGCATCATTTCAAATTATTGCTATACTCTACATAATATTCTTTATAAAAGAGGTACAACCCGCACCAAAAACAGTTGAAAAAGTCATTGAAGACACCCCACCACCTTTGCCGGCACAAGGTCCACCCTCACTACGAGTCGGCGCTGACAATTTGGCTTATCAACACACCGGCAGCGATGAGGTGGATCGCGTCAAGAATGTGAGTTTTGAATTAAATTCACATTTACAGCCGTCGGATAAGTCGATACAATTGCCGAATGCTGCAGCTGCAACACCCGCTCGACGTTCCTTTCTTCGTGAATTCTTCGATCCGACTTTGGTGATAGATTGCATTAAATTTCCGTTAGTAAAACGTCCCAACCATGGCAGAATGTTATTGATGTTACTTATTACTGCTTACTTTTTGACGTTGGGTCCAGTTTCAGGTGGGTCAAAACATTTAACTTCTAAATGTAAATGTAAATCTATGTAAATAATTTGTGCTCTATTGCAGGCGAAAACGACTATTGGTATCGTTACACACTCATTAAACTCAACTGGAACGGCAATGACTTTAGTTTCTTCTTCACGTTTTCTTCTGCAGCGGCCTTAGTTGGTATTTAGAAAATCCTTTTTTTTGATATGCATACGAGTATATGGTATATATACACATTTGGTTTCAAAATCATTTATACGTTCCAAACTGTTTTTAGTTACGTTCAGACAACTTTCGTACTAAGTTTCTCTCTCTTACTGATCTTTAGTTTAGACTTCTTCTATTTTAACCAATTTTTGTTTTTTCTTTTAGGCACTTTTATTGGCACGGCTATACTTAGTAAATTGCTGAAATTTTCGGACCCCACCATTGGTATGTTATCAGCTGTGGCAATAGTTATTTCACGAATTCTATTTGTAAGTTCATAATTGAAAAATTACTTTTTATTGTAATTATAGCCATTTTAATTTTTGCATCATTTTAGGCTTTTGCCAAGGATACAAAGTCCTTCTATGTGGCTGGTGTTGTTGATATGTTTGTGAGTTTGCGTGTCATTGCCATTAAAACTATCAGCTCCAGCATTGTTGATGGCGAGGAATTAAGTTAGTGTTTATAGGACATTGTTTGATTGGTGTGATTGTATTTTGTTAAACATTTTCGGTTTTTACAGGTAAAATGTACTCGATATTTGGTATTAGTGAGCCAATTGGGCAGTTCATATTCCCGCCAATTTTTAGTGTCATATATCAAGAAACTGTGGAAAGTTTTCCTGGTGCGATCTTTCTCTTTGGCGAAATATTCTATGTACCCAATGTGCTGGTGTTTATGTGAGTGGTATTTTTTGCATATTTTTAAATTGATTTTTGTGTTTTTTGTATTTTTTGTTTTCTTTATTTTGTATATATTCATTTCAAAAAATGTGTTGTTCTTTTCGCTTGCAGATTGTGTTATATCATTTTACGGCGCAGAAATAAAACTCAGCAGAAGCCAGTGGAAAGTGCTAATGCAAATACTGCCCCCACAACTCCGGATTGTGAAATAACTAGTCTATAATAAATGTTTTTTACATACAATTAGCAAGAGTGCTGACAGGTTGTTAAAGAATTTTTGAAAAATTTCTATTCAAACTAGTGATTGAAAATTTAACTTGAGTTTTATATAGCGAAAAAATTTTGCGATGCCTTACCTTTATTTAAAACAAAATAATATTCAATTCTGTTTAACTATTCACGCTGAAAAGTTTTTTTTCTATTATGGTAAACTTTAGTTTTCTAATTTTACAATGTCTTATTTTATGTTCATCATAAGAGATTTTCCTTGTAAATAAAAGTATACAAATTCTCTAACCTCAAATTGAAATCGATATACAAAGTTTTTCGGTTTTACCAAAATATTTTTTCTTAAACCTTCTCTTTGTCCTACATTTAACTTCATATATCCTTCAACTCAATGTATTCTTCACTTAAAGGCCTACTAAAATATCTTCCAGTTTGATTGAAGCAATGATTACCGCAGCGCTGAACAAACCAACATACATAAACAAAATTAAACTTACGTACACACTTTGATATGCAATTTGTGCACGAGTATGTGTGTTTTAACTCCTTCACATTGGCCCGCAGCTAACACTTGTTGCTTAAGCATAAAATTCATGAAATCCGTAAGTGGTAATTTTAATCAACAAATTCATTCAATTTATTCTTTCGACCATAAACCTGTGCCATTTGCTTTAACACATATGCTCTATTTGCATTTATGAATGTTTGCATGCATGTGTGTGTTCTGCTTCTTTTTGTGTTTGGGTGGGCTTTTCGCGCACTACCCATTTAAATACTACTTTCGGGATAACTGCCTTGGAAAACAATAGCGTAGCTAAAATAATCATTGTTAATCTTTGTTAAACCCAAGGTTGTTATCCATATGCGTATATGTGTTGTTAGTTAATATGTGCGTGAGTGAGTAGCCATATCTTCTTAATCGTTGCGCCGCAAACATCTAGGCCTGGCAGTTGGTATAAAAACGGATACTCCATCAACAGGAAGCCCAGTACAATCAGCGCTTTGCTCCAATCGAGTACAAAGTTTACACAAGCAAACGAATCTCTAGTCAAAGTAAGCATAAATTAAACAAATAAATTTATTTTCGATAACTTGTAGTGAATTTTGTTAGAAGGTTTTAAATAAATGTTGTTTAAATCGTACTTTGGTATTTCGACTAAAAATTTACATTAGTGTGAAATTGTATATTGGGAGGCACTGTGCTAGTATTTAAAGCAAAATCTTGTATACAGCCACTGTTGTGATTTGGCACATGTCTGATAGTAGTTCGATAGCTCACACAAAGATGGCGCGCTGTACACTTTGTAATGTTTACAAATTCAACAAGAACTGCAGCAAATATTTGTTTAGAGTCAACTTAATGAAAAAATTCATTATGATTATTTATAAATTGTTTAATAAAAATAAAACCGTGCCTAGACAGGGATTGCATATGTAAATATGTTGCAATATCCTTTTGAAGGACTTAAGAAATCTGGCGATATATACTTACATATACTTGTACATATAAATTGTAAATAAGTTAACAAACAGTAAGAACCTCGTTTAAGATATTATATTTGTTACAACAAATGGTTTTTAAAAATAATATACACCTCCTCTGAACATATTTCAATCAAATAAATATTCAAATAACGTACAATAATTGCCTATTTACAGCATAAACAAGATGTTCAAATTATTTTTCTCCTTGGCTGTCTTCTGCTTATTGGCCACTTGCTTTGGCCAAACGTTTCAATACTCGCACGGCTGGACCAGCGGCAAGCGAGCTATGAACTCCCATCGTGACAATGATATATCCGAAATGCTCCCACAAGATGGCGAACGCAAATTGGAAAGGTGTGTTGAAACCGAAATTATTTTCAATATTCATATTTAATCGCATTACTCTATTTAGGTGTCTTATGCAGTTGCAATATTTATTACACAATCCCCTGTCGATTCGTGCCGGCGTACCGGCCTTGACTCCGGCAAATGGCAATTTATTTGGAAATCATCATCAATCAAATGAATTGTACGAAGAACTGAATGCTGCCGAAGCGAACGATTATGGAAAACATTAAAACGTGATTATGGCCATAAAATATTAATAAAACGAAACAGCTCCACACGAATTTAGTAGTATGTATATTTAGTAGAATATTTGGAACAGCATGCATACACATACATAATAAAATTATTTATTGTATATATATAGCATATATAATTTCGTTAAAATTTTTGATAAACTACAGTTAAAATATTATATGAATTTGCAAGTTTAAAATGTCCTTTGAATGTTCATAACTACACCCATATGTGTAAAAAATTATAATAATAAAAAAAAATTAAGTAAATCGTGCAAATATAGCGAAAAGCTAAGTTGAAAAACAATATATGTGTTTGATTCTGTCCATGAATGGAGTAAAAAGATTTTTAAGGTCGTGAAAAATATTTTTATTTCGTTTTTTTGATTGCTCTGTATAAGTGTGGGAAAAGAACTTTATGAGCTTCTCAAAAAAGTTATTATTTTGAGCATGTTTTTAAACCGCACTATTCGTCTTTTGTTCCCAAACGTCTAAAGCTGATGACAGAAGGAGAAGGAGTGGTCATCGCGTGTTTCGAACCAATTCAGCCATAAAAAGTGTTTGCAAACGCATTCGCAGAAATCTTCTAAGAAAAAAAAAATTTATGTCAACGAAAATGCAGCACTCACGACCAAAAGCACCCAACAGTGGCTTAAAAGCAATATGAAACAGATTTATATCCATTTTACTACCGTCTGTGGTGTTATGGATCAATGGTCGAATCGTTTGAGGGCTTGTGTGAAAGCATTGACAAGATGACCATTTCGAATAACATTTTGTACATCGGGAATTTTTATAACGGCTTGAACTTATAACAGAACTTAGGGCAGTACTAAATAGACTTGCTATATACTTGTATAACTTTATATGCATATGTGTATATTCTTAGACTACTACTTAAAATATCTGCCAAATTATTTCCGATGAGAAAGATTTTATTATTCGATCTGCTAATAAGGCAAGTCTTCTTATTACATTTTTCTGTCTTTAAAGTCCCGTTTGCTCCCTTTTTATTGAATAGCCACTTCTCTTCCCAACGGTGTCGTTATGTAAATAGTCAATTGTATAACAAGCAACAGCCCTCATCAAATATTTATAAACACCAACTTTGGTTACATCAAAAAATTATCAGGGGTGTATTTGGTGTTCCTCAGTATTTTGTTGTAACAACATAATTTCATAACTCATGCAGTGTGATAAATGCCTTATTTATACGTGTGTAAATACGCGTAAATGTTTATGCGCAGATGGTATACGCATATATTATGCTTTTACATTGGGGCGGATCTGATTGTATAAATAAACAAAAAAAATTTTTTTTCATTTGAAAATAGAAAATATATTTTAATATTTTTCATTAAAATTAGACTGCAGAATATTGTTTTTCGAGGCAAAATTTTGTAACCGCCTTAATGTACATGCTCGTATAATATGTACAATGTGCGCTAAAAGAATTCGTCAAATTTTATAGGTAGTTTCATCCAAAACTTCCAATATGAAGTAAAAACGTAATTTTTATACCAAACTAATTAGAAATTTTACGCAAAATATATATGACTTTTGTCCTGAGTTGTAGATAATATTCAAAGCGATGATCTGATGCCGAGTTAGCTTAAAACGGGACGAACAGGAAGAATCATTCTTGAAATGAATCAAGACTGTAAAAATACCGTAGCTTTGCAGTATTTTCTTAGACTCATAGGAATGTTCCTTATCATACCGAATTTCAGAGCCCCACAACTACAAAACAGCCATAAATAAGCAAGGTAAACAAGTCAAAGAAGCTGGAGTCAGTTTTTGAAACAATTCGAAATCGAAAGGGGCACACCTCGTTTGACAGCCTGAAAAAGTCAATTTTTGGAAATTAAAAAAAAAACATACTGCATCGATTATTCTCACGGTACATTTATACATGTTCCATAAATACACAGTGGTATTTAAACAAAATTAAATATATTTTGAGTTCCGCCAGGCCTGCGACGCCGCTAAAATAGGTCAATCCCTGCTACATGGATTCCTTCTTCGGAGATGAAACCTAAAAATAAAAAAACCGCGTTAAACTAGCAGATATTTTCCGTACAGTGATCTACAATCAGAGAAAATTTTGAGAAAAACGCTCTTAAAAATAAACTGCTGCTCCATCAACTTGAAATGAGCGGCTACACTTTAAAGAACTGTAATTCAAAAACTATTTCAGATATCGATTTACAATTTTAGTATGATATTTTTAAAGGTATAACCGATCGAAATATAAAACATCGATTTTTTCAAACTCACACTAGATGTGCCCGTTAAAATAAAAGTAGTATAAATATGTTTGCAAATGTTTTACGGCGGTAAATTGGCTATGCTGTGTGGCTGGTGTATACTGACGGTAATATGGACCATAGGTCTTTAGCTTGCGTGAGTATTTATCAATTATTGTTTAAAAAAAAGTTCTTTATGCGGTATCCATTTATTTAATTAAGATAACAACCTTTAAGGGAGACATCTAGTGCGATAGCCTACGAAAAGGCAGTTTTTGTGAATTAAACTTGTTTTTTTAATTTTTACATATATAAGGAATACACATATATAAGGAATGCACTAAGTCTGGTCTTCTCCGTGGATGAAACCTAAAAAAATTCTCGACTGGAATATATTATCCGTGCAATGACCTATCGAAAAAGAATCGAAAAAATGACTAGGTTTTTAAAAAGTTTAGTTATTTTTGGCTAGCCAATATTAAACTTTTGACTTGATCAAAAAACTGGGAGGCCATTGAAGAACTAGGTTTATACAGAATATGATGAAAAATTTGGTAAGCGATCTGGTTATCACTCAAACAATTTTGAAAAATGTAGTTTCGAGAAAAACGCTTTTAAAGATAAGCTGTTGGAACTGATTGAACTGAGCGGCTACCCTTTAGAAGGCTGTAACTCAAAAACTATTTGAGATATCGATTAAAATTGTAGTATGTGATTTTTAGAGGTATAACTTATCGAAATCGAAATGTATCGAAAAGAATGGTATCACGGATGAAGATATCATCCATCCATCCAGGAAGAAAATTCCAAAAAAATGTAACTGACATTATATTATATTAAAGAATAAATATTATATACAATATTTTTATACCCTGAACAGGGTATATTAAGTTTGCCACGAAGTTTGTAACACCCAGAAGGAAACGACGGAGACCCTATAAAACATATACATAAATGATCAGCATGATGAGCTGAGCTGATTTAGCCATGTCAAAGAGAGAGTTGTTGTTTAAGGCAAACATGTTTTTCGCCGAAGAAATTGTTCAGTTCAGATCACTATATCATATAGCTGCCATACAAATTGAACAATCGGAATCAAGTTTTTGTAAGGAACCTTTGTATTTGTGAAAGGTATTATAGCTTCGGTGCAACCGAAGTTAACGTTATCTCTTGATTTTACCTAATAATTAAATCACATTTATTTTATAACCAAATAATTATAAAACAATTAAGAGGACAACTTAACATACATTTCATTACACTCGTGCATACAAACATACCCAAAAATGTATGAACATTCTATACAAAAGATTTGCAAACACTTTTCACTGTAAGAACATCAAACAAATCATTCAAACAATCATAAATAAACATCTATTGTACTTTCTAAGCACTCACACACACACACACATGCATTGCTATTAACACAATAAATGAATACAAAACACAAGTGGCAAATGATTGTACATTTGTAAGCCACTAAAAGAGGGTGGTGCTGGTGTCGCGTCGGCTTTGGCTTTGGCTGGTGGCGGCGGCAAGCGAAATATGTTTTCAAATTGAATTTCTACCTAACAAGGTAATTGATCCTCGGGGATTGTTTGTGAGGGCTGAGGCGGGATGATTGCAACAAAGTCCGAATAACTCTGTCATTCGTGTTTAATTTTTCCTTTTTCATTTACAGCAATCATACCACGAGTAATACATACACACACATAAATTTATATGTGTATTAGAGCTTATACGACGGCTCTTGTTATTGTTGCTGCTCGATGTTGATTGCTGTAGAGGCAGCTTCACGCTACGGCATTGGGCGACGAACGTATGCTTTGGGAATTGGGGAATATGAATTTTTATCTTTTAATCTGGTAAAAGAGCAAAAAGTAAAATTAAGGACATCGGACATATTTCACAATGAATGACTCCAAATGTGTTTAAGTGTGTGTGCGTATGTTCACTCAATGCCTGCCACAAAGCTGACTGATGCCGTTTATGGCGACTGACACTACTGGCAGGGTGTTCGTTTGTCCATGCACAAGGAAACAATCGTAAATCGCTATGGGCTTTTCATACGCTTTTGTACGGATGAGGGTGGAAGAGTTGATGTCCGAAGCGTAAATTGCATTAAAATACAATTACAATTGATGCTTCCTTGTCGTTGTCGCTACTGTGTTTCGCACAAATGTTAAAACAAATGTATCGACAATTTCCCAGGCAACACTGTTCGATGTAATAGAGCCCTGTAGGAATTTTTTCGCTAATATTTAAACATTTGTATATGATTGGGCGAAAATATTTTTTGATAGAATTTTTTCGAACATTTCTTGTAAAGTCATATATGAAAACAAGAAAAAAGGTAAACTTCGGGTACACCGATACTGTAATGCCCATCACAAATAAAACACTTTTTCGTACAAGAACTGAATATTGATTGGCTCTTTTGTATGGCAGCTATATGCTTAAGTGGTCCGATATGAAAAATATGTTAATGTTAAATCCACATTATATGCAAATTTTGTGAAGATATCTTGTTAAATAAATATTTTATACAAAAACCTGATTTTGATCGGTCAGTTTATGGCAGACATATGCCAATGGGCCGATATCGGCGATTCCAACAATTTTGCAGCTGCTTGAGGAGTAAGAGACAGTTAAACAAAGATCCCTTTCTCAAAAACTGAGGGGCTAGTACCCGTATATAAAGACTGACGGACAGTAAATGGCTAAATCGATTCGACACGTCGCACTCATCGTTTATAGAGTCTCCGAAATTGCCTTATGGTTGTTACAAACTACGTGACAACCTACCCTGTTCAAGGTATAAAAAAAAATTGTTAATTTTTTGAATCAACAACGATTTTTTCAAAAATATAAAATTTTAGTATTTTATTAAAGATACATATATTTCTGGCTTTACCCTTGGATGGCAATAGATTGATTCCTTTATTTTAAAAGTAATTCTTAAAACCTTCTTTTATATAATATATTGTTACTTGTTATTGCTAGCTTTTTCACAAAATATATTAGACAAAAAATTAATACAATTGAGTTTTCGTCGAAAATTGCCTAATATTGAAGTAATAATATTGTCCTTGAAGCTTTTGAAAAAGTTTCCTAAGAGTATTTTTATATTGATACAAAAGAGGCTTTCACAAAAGTTAAATATATATATATGTATTTATATATTTTTGGATACCTAATGATTCCAACATAAAATAATCGGTATCCATTAATTTCTTTCATTGTTTCAAGTAACGTTTTTTTAGCATTAATTTTCAAGCTTAGCAACATATGTATATATTATATTAAAAAGAATAAGGCGAATTATATTCTTGTCGAATAATATATTAAATAAACGTATTTCAAGTTCAGTGAAAGATAAAAAATTAATCAAATTCTTACAAAAATATAATAGCGGTCAAAGTGGGCTTGAATTTTATGTGAAACAAAAACACCACCAAAACTGCAAAAAAAAAAATTCTCAAGTTGCATATATGTGTATTTTTCCTGCAGGGTTATCAAAACCTGTTCTCACATTCAAATTCGCCACTTTGTTGTTCTGTACTCTGCACAAAGTGCATTCTCTTGTCCTCTGCTGTGTGGGGGAGTTGCTGGTTAAGGATGACTGCATGCTCTTTCTCTCTTTGCCAACAAAATTGCTTATTGACTTTTATTGAAATTAAATTTACGTCACGAACTTCAGTGCCTCGGCAAATATATATTTACATACACACATACACTTTTGCAGTTTTATAACTCTACAACAAAAACAACAAGAATACTTTGACATTCGCATATTTGTTATGCTGTTGACAGCAGATTTGTCACCTGCGTTACACAGCATTCGATTGCAATTGCAAAGTTGCGCATCAACGTGTTGGGTGATGTACCGTTAAAATTTTGAAGACGAAAAGAGAATGAAAAATAATTGTGCTGAAGTTGATCTTCTTAAATGTTTGAGATTTTTTCTATGTGAACGAAGATAAAGTTACCGTAATTGTGCGCACTCTGCAAATCTCATTAAATATTATTAAGTGATTAAAATTTATAACAAATTACAATTGGCTTTAACTTATTTGCATGCTCGCAATACCACACCTCCGACCCCGTGTCGACACACTTGCTTGTACACGTATAACGGGTATGCGTTGCACTTGCAAATGTAAATGTCACTCGTGTGTGAAAATCCGTTATCCGTTGGCAATTACATTAAATAAGAGCGAAAGCAGCAACATTTCGGGTAAAGTGCCAAAGTAATAAAAACAATAAGCAAACATATAAAAACGATTGTCAAAATGATGTGAAACAGGATATGCGTGTAACCGCCGCGCAATACACGCGCTCGCACAACAACATACACATACATACATAGTACTAAACACGGCAGTCGCAGCAGCACTCGGAGGGCTAGCACAACAACGCCCTTTCAATTAAGCACAGCGCATCACTTTTTTCCAAGTCAAGGACATGCAAGGATAATTGCCTTTTGGAGTGGAAAAAATATACATAATGATTAACAGTTTGATTACGTATGTATGTAGGCAGCAGGATGGGCCAGCACGCCAAGCCTACTGACTGTGTTTGCTTTTGCTCCTGCTTCTGCTACTGGTGGATGTTAAATGATGAACGCGCTCCGACACGTGTTTTGCCGCAACGCAGCGTTTTTGTAACAAGTTCATCAATTTCAAATGTTTTTCAGACGTTATGTCAATTCCGTTGTCTCTGCTTAATTTTTCCTTTCCTTTCGATTTTTTATCGCCGCTGCCGCATCCCTGCCGCTGCCGAGTCTATAGGGATTTGCTTTCTACGAGTATGTAGTCAAAAGTCACGAGTGTATTTCAATGAAAAGAGCATATCCATATCAACCATTTAAACGAAAGAGCAGTAAACAAAGCAAATACACCAACACGTTTTTAGTCTTAAGCTCAGATGAGGGTTTGAAGTCAAGTGCATGCCAAACAAAAAAAAAAAAAAATACTAAACCTTTTCAATGCCATTTTTTTAACAGTATAACATTTATAACTAGGCACAACAAACAACTCTGTTATATAGTACTTGAATATACATATACAAGTATATGCACATTAGGGTGAGAAAAAAAGACAAATAACGAATTTATGGAAAAAAATATAAAAATAATATATAATATTTATAATTAAAATAATTATAGAAAAAAATGATAAAAGTATAAAAAATTATGTTTTTATTACAAATACCATAGCTTTTGAACAATTTAGGGTAATATTTTGTGCATCGCTGATTCTTGTAAAACATAAAATTTTCTAAAAAATCTACCTCCATAGAATTTTTTAAATTAAAATAAAAATAAAAGGAAAAATTAAAATTTTTAATTGAAGTAGAAAAATGTATCTAGTAATACCTGTAAAAAATAGCATCTCATATAGTTTTTGAGTTGCAGCCTATTAAGTTGTAGCTACTCAGTTCAATGAGCTAAATCAGTTTATCTTTAAACGCAAAACAACATTTTTCAAATTCGATTGGCTGACCTCTTAATGTTCAAAAGATATCAGTTATTGTATCAAAAAAGGCACTTTTTTCTATGTGTATATGGGCATAATATCGATTATAGTTTTTGGCTCACCCTAATGCATGTACATGTATGCTTGCTTAAATACTTTTGTTGAAAAACCTTGAAATTATGCGGCGCAGTTGTTGATTTTAAAATCTGTGAATTATTGCAATAATTTGGCATTTGCTTTCCATCGACATCTATTTCAGTTGAAAGTATCGATACTCAACCGATTACCGTCTGCTGATATATCGTGCAACACTATTTAATGCTTAACATTTTGTATCTCAATAATTTAATGAGTTTAAAATTAAAAACACCATTTATTCCTTTTTATCAGATATTTACATAAGTTTGTACATTTATTATTTTAAATAATGCGACGTGTTTCATTTTTATTGTTTTTATACACGATTTCTTGTGGTTTTATTTAATGTTAATCTAAAATAATTAAAATATTCTAAGCTTTGTTGAAGTGAGAAAGAGTTATGCAAGCGATTTTGTGTTTTTGTGTTGTTGTTCCTTTCGTCCTTTTTTATGTCTATGCATACGCAAGTGTTAAAAAAGCTGTAATCTAAAAGCTTTTTACTAAAGGTATTGGAGCGCTTATGACATACCGACGGTTATTGCGATTATTCCGTTTGTACAAAGAAGCTTTGAAAAATTTTAATTAAAACAAAAATGTTACAAAGTGACAGGGAATTTTATTTTAAAATACTTTAAGATATAATGATTGCTGTAATTTTCTGACTAGAGAGCTAGAAATTTTTGAAATGCTGAGTAACATTTTTACTTTTACATAAAATATCTGCTGTTTTGAACAATTTTGTACCTTAGTTTGAACAGAATTCAAGGACAAAATGAACATGAGCATAATAAATAATTTTAAATTAAAATTTGAAAAAATATAACAAATTTAGGAAAAACCATTAATAATAACATTTTTTATTTAAAGGAAGCAATAGGAATTGTTAAATATAAAATCTATATTAAAGCCGTCGGAATACGTTTTATACGCTATAGGTTTTATTGCTCAAATTGTAGTATTTGAAGTATATTCAAAGATACACAAATTAACTGCTAATTAGTCAATCAAGCACTACATTTTAGATCTAGTAAAATAAGTCATTACGTTCTGTAGGCCTGAATTTTTTTCAAAAAAACGGATGAACACAAACTTGCTAATATTCTGTTTGACAATAAATTAAAATATAGCATCTGATCAAATTTGATCCGAATTGGTCCATAATGACTGGGCGCGTGAGCCGATTCGATAATTTTTTTTTCTAAATTGCTATACCGTTATTTTATGTTTGTCTGAAGTTTTATCTCCATACGGAAGTAAAATAGAGTGTGTTTAGCAGCTGTTTGTTTGCAAGGCGAAAACTTTGTCTTTTGGCGATTTTTACCATGAAAGCATTCAGTGAAGGTCGTGTAGTCATCGAAAACTTGGCTCATGCAAGTCATACATCCACTTCTCTTAATAACAATATTATCGAAGAAGTAGTTTCTAATTGAATTTTTGCTCGTCAAATAAGCTCTTTGAAGCCTAAATTAAGAAATTCGCTTTTCAAAGAGCTTTTTTTTGTGTTAATTTGTTGGCATATTTTCACAATAACCGTTACTATGTCATAATTGCTTATCTAACTTATTAAAAAAAAATCTATAAACGACTGATAAAGCTTACTATATACAATACATTACTATTACTTCTTAGCTTACGTTAATTGCTTTTGCTGCTACATATTAATACTATTTATTTGTGTTAAAATTGAATTTGAATTGAAGCCTTTTTTTATTTTAAGAGCACGTTGTCACAGAGGAAATGAAATATACAACGATTTAATTAATTTTTTAAATAAATAATTTAAATACTTTCGTTTTAAAACACTATAATTTCACTTGACAATAAATAAAATGGTTTCAGCTAAATCTACTATGCAAAAATGTAATAAATAATTTTGTGTTTCATTACAGAATTCCTCTGTGACAATTTAAGTACGGCTTAGTTTTTATAGTTTTCAGAGTAATTAAGTTTTTATAAATTACATATTATAGCTAATTCTTAATTTTTGTTGAGATTAATTCCGTTTTGCTTGTATTTATTATATAATATTTAGTATGTATATATGTATTAGTGTAGTAGATTTTCCTATATATACAAAGCATATCACAAATGAACTTTACTGCACTTAGATATTTGGTGCACCAATACGGTTCCGGCTTGTCCTTAGTGTGGGGAGGATTAGCAACCAGCCGCGTGTGTCTCAGCCCAGGGCTGGAGTCCATGCAGTGCCGCCAATGGTGCACCGTTAACCGTTTGTGTGGACAGTTGCGAAGCTGGTGGTGGCGCAAATCCTTTGCTAATTGCTTCTGCCTGCAGGGATAACATCAGACGATTTGCCGCTTGACGTTCAGCTTCGCGTTCCTCAGCCGTTTGACGTCTACAAAGAATGAAAAAAATAAATGAAAGTGGGGGAAAACTAGAGTTTATCCATAGTTATTTATGTGTTGCTAGGTTATTTATAGAAAGAAAGTGTATTATAAGTATTATTATAAGAGAAGAGATTAAGAGAACTCCTAGGTTTAATTTAGCTAGCTTTAGTAATATAAGTACATAATTGAGTGACATGTGCCTCTTCAAACTATTCTAGTAGTTTTTTTTCTAAAGATCGAAAATTTGTTTCAGTGAAACATAATCGATAAATTTTCAAATAGATGACTTTAGTAATCTGTATCTCGCGTTCTATAAATGCGATCGGGCTACGCTTTATGGCACCAGAAAGCAAAGAATTCGTATTAAAAATATTCTACAGTTTTACAAAGATTTTAAAGTTTTTTTCGATAAAGTCAAAAACGCAAGCCAGATGGCTGAAAATATGAATAGTGTTAATGGTCCTTATACTGTCACAGCCAATCACAGGCAAGTTTAGTTTCGTCGATTCAGTTTCGATAATTTTGATGTCGAACACGCATCACGATTTGGAAGGCCAATTGTCGTAAATACCGATGATATAATGGAAACCGCCGAGACAGACCGTTATGTAGGCACTGTTTGGTTTGCCCAGGAGCAATACATTGCTCAAAAAGTAGCTTGGAACCATTTAAATAAGATCGCATATAAAAAGAAGCTCAATATATATGTACATAGGTGCCATACGCCTTAACGCAAAAATAACTGCATGGACCGATCTATTCATCGTTCATTCAGCGAAAACGTTTGTGACCAAAACGCGGTGAGCTGGAGCAAGCGGTAGCCAAGCCTGGATTGACTGTCAGAAAAGTTTTGCTATAAGCAGGAGATCTTCTACTATGAGCTTCTTTCTTACAGCCAAACTCAACAAACGTAATTAGGACATGTTATGAAATAAGTGATAGATAAGGACGGTTATGAAATAAGTGATGTGACTCGGGTGTAAATGAGCTATCCGATTGTAGACTAAGTTATATCCTAGTTCGTTTTTTTCATACCACGATTACATAACATACACTTATATTCGTATCTAAATTAGTCAAAACTTAATCTGAATAATTTTCGTCCATTTAAATATTCATATACAAATGTACATATACTCGTACATAGCGACATTTCTACATATATTCGTAAGAACCCATATACGAATACAGCAACTTGTATGGCCATTGACTAAAGTATTTAGAAAGCAATTACGGTAAATCAGTATGCATTTGCCCATTTAACAAATACCGTGATGAGATCTTGTGTTGTTGTAGTTATTGAATCAATGGCAGTTTGTTAATGAATATTTAAACGAGAAACAATTTCAAAACTCATTAGTGTATGCACATGCTCACCAACACACACACACACACATGGATATATATGTATGTATGCATGCATCTTTCCATGCTCAAATAGCAAAATTAAGGACATGACTGCTGATTGCCAGCGTTGATGGCTCCAATGCAATAAACTGTGGTTGGTATGTGCTTGTGGGTTGGTGGACAAACCAATATGTATATTCCCAAAATAATAACTGCTCGCATGTGCAAAATACCTACATATATATAATATAAGTAAATATGAGTGCTTTTGCGTGTGTGTTTGTTGACTTTTAAGTTTATCCTCATTCTTATTCGTTATTAATTAAGGTAAGAAGAAATGTTGATGAGACCGACGGTGACAGCATACATTTAATTCATTACCATAACTACAACTACAACTACGACATTTACTGACTGCTCCATTTCTCTACATCCCCCACTCCTCAGAGGAAAATGGAGTTTGCGCATTTAAGTAAATGTGCGCCGCAGATGTGAATTACCCACGCAAATATGTATGTATGCATGTTCGGATATATAGATTTGTATGTGCTTGGGGGATGAAGCGCCATATTGAATAAGTCATAAGTTAATGATATAACCTCGTAAATGCATATCTATTCGGTTTTGGTTATGAGAGTCAGGACAATGGGATCTATATTTTGAGTGAGTGTATCCACTTACAGTTGTATAATAACGATGTGTAGATATGTTAACTGAAGAGGAATATTCCTGCAAGTTAGAAACATTTAAGTGATGTCTGTAGAAATGTGACCGAAGGACATGATTTTCAAAGTATCATTAAGTGTAGCTTAAGTTGGAAAGCTCAGATATTTGAGATACAATACAATGACAAAAATGCCACACAAAATTCTACAAACAATGTGTAACTTTCATAAAATCGGTAAACCTTCCGTATTTAAAATAATTAGGCATATATGTCACACATTATAGGAAAACTTAGCTCAACTTAATGTTTGTCAAGGTTCAATAATTTCGACGAAGGCAACAAGTTAATTTGAAACTCTCACGATAAAATATTCGTTTTCGATTCGCGAATTCTTTGTTCGGTAAGAGCTGCTTCCTTACTAAGTAATTTTCATCAGAAAACAACAACAAAATAATATTAATTTTATATCAATAGTTTCCTCAAGGCGTTAATACAAACGTAAATCCTATTAATAATTTTTATCAAGAAACTAATTATTCGGCTTTTCACACGTTTGAAATTCAATTTGTAAAAAAAAACGGTATTAAAATTAATTTTTTTTAAATACATTGTATAATACAGGGTTGCAGATAATGCATTAAAAAGATAATTGAATTAACGTTTGAATTAATTTTCTTTTTATTTTGTATTCTCGAAAATCTTAATTAAAAATATTTAAAAAATTTATTATCTCAAATATTGTTTTGAAAAATTAAAAATAAAGGTGTAATCCCACAAATCGGATTGAAAATGCAAAATTTTAATAAAATAAAAAATTAAAATATTAATCTTAAACACCTGATTAAAAAAGTGTTAATCCCTCAGCTTTTGAGTTATCGATCTGAAATTTGCACACGTCCTTTTTCCTCCAAGAAGCTGCTAATTTATCCGAGCCAAATTAGAATATATCATGTAGTTGCCATACAAATTGATCGATTAAAATTAAGTTCTTCTATGGAAAACTTTTATACGATATCAAGTTTTTATATTGAAAACTTTATTTTATATGTATTTACTTTATTATATTACATACTTATAATATATTTAATTTGAAAAGATATCTTCACGAAATTTAGCAAGGATTATTGCCTAAGGCTAGGCTTTAATCTCCTAATATATTGTTTAGATCGGACCACTATAGCATATAGCTGCCATACAACCTGATGATCAAAATAAGCATATATATCTTGCATACCCTTTTATGTCACACGAAATGCCCCAGTAAAAAGTATTATAGTTACGGTGTAGTCGAATATTTTTTTTTTTTTTTTAATAAAATTTGAACAAAGACCTTTTTGTCTTATTTATTGTACATTTAATTATTTTTAATTATATTTTTTATTTATCGGTTATCCCTTTACATTCCAGCTTTTGATTTGAAAAACTATTAATTTATGTTTTACTACAAATTTTAAATTATAAAATAAAATATTTCGGATTCACAATTAAATATCTACTATCTAATATTGATATATAGTATAGTATAGGAGTATGAGGCGACATATACAAATACCTAAACACATACTACTTTTGTATATAAATACATGGAACTATGTATGTAAATGTACATTCATTCTAACTCCAACAGTTCGAAAATCTACGATATGCTCCGTCTGTGCTCTAGTCAAGAAATATATGCCAAACACATGCACACTTAATATATTCATCTATACATAAGAATCATACATATGTATGTATATAAATAGAAGTATTTGCAAAAACCAACAATTCAATTTGCAACATTTGCACTCAATGAAGTCAAATCCTTCTCAGTTTCATATCGCATATTGCGGAGTGAATTATTACTGCGGATAAGTTGCAATTGCTTGTTGCTAGTGTGCTGTTGTAGCTGCTGTTGGTGTTGGCGTTGGTGGCACAATGCTGCACAGGAGGAGGGACTATTTGTGGCGTTATAATATTTTCAGTGGCACTGTGAGCTCTTGTTGTCGGCAACAATGTAGTTGGAGTTAGCTGAAGCTGGTTTGTTGATGCAGTGATGGTGTGGCAGAAGTGGCGGTTGCACTCCAAAACTTTTCCATGTCACACCACGGTGAAATAACAAAACAAAACAGTAGAAATTGATTACATTTTTAGCGCACCCGCATTTGTTTAGACACACACACACACATATATTTATACATATTGATGTAAATTGGTTGAATATGCAATTGTGGGTGTGTATAAATGTATTTTCCTCCTAAAAGTGCTGTTATCTGCATATTTATATGAATTTTTGCGTATAACACGTTTACTTTATGCAAATTTGATTTACCTCCTCTCCAGTGTAATTTATCTCCATTTGCATTGAAGTGAATTGTAAATATATAAATATATATGTATGTACCATATATATGTATGTACAAAATGAAATATTAATGAATATTACCCATATTCTGAAAATTGTGTTAGGGCATTACTATATATTAAATTTTCAAATTATTTTTTTTTCGAAAGATTTCAGGCACGGAATGGATTGATTTTCTCTACAGTCTGGTTTTGTTTCCAACACCCTTTAAAAGGTAAATAAACCAAAATTGTAGAATATTTGGCTAGGAAAAAATTATCTATAATTTGGAACACTTGTAATATATCTAAATATTTCAACCTTTAAGCAAGAAAAGCGGTACACAGGCTAAGATCGAACATGCTCTTAGTATTTTCCTACTATAAATCGAAAATTTGTTAAATGTGAAAGAGTTCTATTAATTATTTTGAATACTTGATAGGTAATAATTATCAACAATTGTCTAATAGAGACACTAGTTTATTGAAATAATTTCTTTTCTAAAATTCTCTAAATCTCACCCATTTAAAATAAAGAGTTCGAAATAAGTGGTTGGTTATGTAAGAAACGACCCGCAGAGAGCACAAGCCTTCATAGTAGATTTCCTTCGGATATTTAGACGACCGATTATTAGAGAAGTAGTTATTTCGGTTCATTGAGTAAAATTTTGA